TGTTGTTGTTGTTGTTGCTGTTGTTTATAGTATCATGTACGCACACCTCCTACCGACAGTGCCTGGTTCCGTGGGGCTCGCTTGAGGTTGAGATCCAGGTAGCAGCGGCGCGTACTTGTCGTTGTTTTGCGCGAGGCCACTCCGAGTACGTATTGAACTCCAAACCAGGGGAAAGGACAGGATTGAACGCAGAAGCACCCGCACCCATGGCTGTATCTAGACTGATCCATCTGCGATCTCGCGTTTGCGAAGGATCATCTAGTGGAGGCAGACTTCGTCGATGGGCTTCAGTGGAAGGACCTAAACGAGGACCTACGGTTGCTGGCCCTGAGGATGGTAGAGGAAGTCGAGAAGGGAGTTGGTGAGCAAACGCAGACTCCAGCTCAAGTGACTGACTCCCTGTGGCGGCAGCTGAACCTGGATGCCTTGGATGCTCTTCTGCTCCGCTGGCATCGGTGGAGGGACCAGCTGGGACTGCCCAGTTTGGTTCGCACCGAGCTCCCTGGCCCGTCGGATCTCGAGATGAAGGAACTTCAGGAGGCCGTTTTGCATGCTCCAGAGGCAGGCCAAGAGCTTTCGAAGCATTTGGTGGAGATCGTCGTGTTTGCGGAAGGCTTGCTGGGCCTTCGCAAGCCCCACAGACAATCGGTTCTCACGGCGAAGCTCCCAGCTGGTATCGTGGATGGGGAGCAAGTCCATGTTGTGGTCCAAGCTACTCCGCAAGCTGATGGCACTCCTTCAGATGAGGTACGAGTCAGCATCGTTAATGCGAATGGGGATGAGATTGGAGTGCAGCGGAGTCACTTGCACATGCTTGGAAATGCCGATGAAATCATTCGTGCCTTCTCCTCCCAAGAGCTAGGCCTGGAAGACGGCCCTGAGGAGTCAGAAAAGGGCGACCTGGGATGCAGACGTTTCCTCTCTTCTGTTGTCCTTCTCGTTCTTACAGTCTCCTTCATGCTATCTGCTTTGCTTTGCCGCTGATGTCGTGATGATGGGTGATGCCCCAATTCGCATACAGCATGCTTACGCTTACCATTACGGCTACTGCGGAAGGAGCAGAAGGAGGAGCAGAAGGAGGAGGAGAAGAGGAGGAGGAGGAGCAGCAGCTCCTACCACTGCTACTTACTACGGCTACTATTGCTAGTAGTAGTAGTAGTAGTAGTAGTAGTAGTAGTAGTACTAGTAGTAGTAGTGGTGGTAGTAGTAGTAGTAGTAGTACTACTACTACTACTACTGCTACTACTATTCCTGCTGCGGCTGCTGCTGCTGCTGCTGCTGCGACTTCTAATACTACGAGTACTGCTGCTGCTGCTACCACCACTACTACTACTACTACTACTACTACTACTACTACTACTCCTGCTGCTGCTGCTGCCGCCGCCACAATTGTGCTACGGCTTCAGTGCCTTTGCGGCGGCGTCTAAGACACTTGAGAGCACGATCGATTCTCAGTCTGAATGTTTTCTGCTTTTGCAGCTTTTATGTGTTCTTTTGCTCTGTTGCTGTCGTCGTGGTTGTCGTGTTTATTGTGGCTGTGGTGGTGGTACTGGTGTTGTTGGTGGTGGTGGTTGTGGTTGTTGTAGTTGTAGTTGTAGTAGTAGTTGTTGTTGTTGTAGGAGCAGGAGAAGGAGGACTTGTAGTAGTCGCGCAAAGCAATTAGCCTGCTCGTCGCCATCATCGGGAGTAGCATGCAGAGAGGAGGCAGCGAGAGGAACCAGATGAGAGTGGTAGGAACCGCTGATGCAACACTAGTATCACTACCAGTATTTTAGGCCTGCGGGCAACTGTTCACCACTGCCGGCGAATGTTGCTTCTACTACTGCTTCAGGTGTACAGTCATTTTCTCTTGTACTCGTTCTTCTGTTTGGTTCGGCTGCTGCTCCCTACTGCTATTCTTGCTGCTAGTAGTCTGTAGTTGTTCCAGCACCAGCAGCCCCGTCACCCCATCACGATGACTGCTAGCTGCTAGCATGCTTCTACCAGCAGTGTATTTCATCTCTGCTTGTACTAGGCCAAGGTACATGAGCATTCAGAAGAAGACATCGTCCGGACCCAGTCAGACCAGGTCAGCACAGCCACTCTCTCAAGAGGGCTAGCCCAATTAGGGCAAGGGTAGCCGCGCCATGCCGCGCCTAATGGCGAGTGAACGGCCGAGGGAACCCCAGCTGCAGCCGCAACGACGCATCTCACTGCCTTTCCTGCAGAGCTTCAAGAGCTCTCAGGGTGAGCCTGTCAAAGACGGAGTCGACAGTGACTCCAAGAAGTTTGGAGACACTGTCGTGCGAGGACGTCTCACGCACAGCTCAAAAGTCACAGGCAGCCCTATGGCCAGCTCCACCTCACCAACAGTGAGTCCTCCTTCGTCCTCTTCCAGGTCACGCTCGAGTTCGCCGGCCTCTTTCTGGTCGGAGTGTGAAGAGGACGAGTCCGGCCGCAGCAGAACTCCGAGCCCCTGCCCTTCCGAGGATGGATCCTATGTGATCTATCAGTACAGTGTGATGAAGGTGAAGTCGGCTGATTTCTGATGAGAGGACTATGCTCCGACCAACAGTTTGGGGCGCTAGTCCGCATCAGAGGTTCATGCCTTGTGGGCCTCGAGAGGTTTATGCTCCTACCATGTCTGCCAAATCACCACTGCTGGGCCATCATCGACTGATGTTTGCCGCCCGACGTGGTGTACAGACAGCTGACCTTGTCTGGCAGGTCAGAGTTTAGTCAGTTTGAATTATTTTCATGGCATTTTCGTGCCAGGAGGTGCCTCAGGTATAGTAAACACATATCACCTGCAATGCAATCGACACAAATTTTGCGGCATTGCCAACTTGCAACATAACAGATGCTGCAGAAGTGGCATGTGCTTGGGGCAGCAGATTGCACCACACAGTTGCTGCCAGAAGACCATGAAAAGCTCCAGACGCTTCGTGCTTATACAGGTTCATAACTGTCAACTATCATAGTCTGAGGCTGAACAAAGCTAGCGAATTTGAGATTGTCCGTTAGACTGGGAGACGGTATCCAACACTGCTTACCACAGGTGGTGGAGTTCACAAACGAAGCGCATGCTGTGTTTGGGTTCTGCAACATCCACGGCACAGCTGGTGGCCTACTCTTTGTCGATCTGATGGTTATATCAGTCATGTTTGGAACCCACATGTCACATCGAAGCTATGCTGTAGCGCTAATTATGGCTGAGATTGCTAGTTTCCCGCAAGATGTAACAGGGAACGGACTCTGAAGCCGAGAAGGTCCCCTCGTGCGCCCACCAAAGGATCCAAAGCTGTTGCCCGAGCCGCATCAGGGCCAGATAGCTCGGAGCCTCAGACCCCTTGCAGCCTTAGGACCAAGGACAGACACTGTTGCCTCGGTAATGAACTGCTATGTTTTGCAATCCGCAAAGTCGCGTAAAAGCTGCCTGAGCCAGGCCGGAAATCGACGCCTCGCATGGGCTTTGCCATGGGGACAAGCTTACCTGCAAGGCCGAACGGCCCGGGCATTGCTTTGAGCTTTTGTGACAATGATGAAGGTGATGATGGTGATGTTGTTGACAATGCTATTCAAAGATGGGAGGAGAACTGTGTCGACTCTCATCAGGACATGGACAGGACAGTGGCTTTAACTTCGATGGTGATACTGGTACTGACGCTGGTGCTCATTTTATGATGACGGGCGAGGTAGGAGATGACGACTGCTTATGCTGCCGGATGAGAGCGAGGGGAAGCGACAGAGAGAGAGAGAGACAGAGAGAGAGAGAGAGAGAGAGAGAGAGGGAACTAGAGGGGGTGAGTGAGTGAGGATGGAGGGACGGGAGGGAGGGAGGGAGGGAGGTCCTCATGCGTGGGGCATGTGTTGGCGCTGGGATCATACATCCTCCTCATCACCACCATCACCACCATAATCGTAATCATAACGTATGCCTTCTTCCCGTACAACAAACAAGTCACATGCTGCCTTTAGAGTTGGAAACCTTGTGGTAAGCTTGCTGACGTAGCGATCTAAGAGCCTTTCTGGCAGACTGCAGCCTCTCGTGTCTTTGAACCACGTCTCTTCGAGGCCTTTCCTCGTGTTTGGCCATGCTGATTGCCGACACTGATATCCCCGGCATCGCGTGACGAAGCCAGGAGAAAAAGGATTGCTCGGTGCCTTCGGCCCGCTAGTAGCAGCAGCATTTGTACAAGCATCTTGTGACATGAGCCTGGAACTATTCCTGCAGACGGGGCCGCTAAGGATGTCGGAGCGGAAGTTGAACGAGGTTGTCCTCAAGCCCTGAATCCTTAGCCATCCTTAGCCTTAGCCTGCAACAAGTCTCGACCATCAAACCGGAGGCTCCCACCGCAATCTTCAAAACTCCAATCTCCAACCCTAAAGCAAACAGTATGAAAGGTCTTATTTGTGTTTTTTGTGTAACTCTCACATAGGCAATAGCGGTGCCAACCGTTTCTGCCCGAGGCCTCAGACCTCGCATCCTGCTAGCACGCGGAATCGTCCCCCGCTCGCAGTTGAGCCGAGTGGGACTCCGGCGGAGGGCATTGGCCCCGGCCACGGAAAGAAACCGAGGCACGAGGATTGAAGCGAAGTGTATAAAATGCACAAAGATTCAGGATCTTTCCATTGGACCATGTTTGCTTGTGAGAGCCGCGGTCGAATTCTGGAGCTTAGGCTGTCGGTCCCCGACTCAGCATCGTTCCACCCCTTATCTCCGATCATGTGCAGGTGTCGACCCGAAAAGGCTCTTGGACACAATGCACCAGGCGAGGCGAGCTTGCCGAGTCTGCTGTTCGCTTGGTTCCGACGCCACTACTTTGGCGCGTCTCCTTCTGGGATAGGCCTCGGTTACGCAATATACCGATTTGTTCAATCCGGGCTTGGTTTAGGGAACAGTTGCCGTGCTAGACTCTGCCATACCATACCGTACCAGGCTATACTCTACCAATCTCTACCATGTTCAGAAAGTGTACCCCAAACCCGATAAGCCTTGCAAACCCTACAAACCCTATAAGCCCTATAAGCCCTTTAGGCCCTATAAACCCTTAACCCTAAACGCTCAGACAATACAGCATGTCAGGGTTTTGCGATGCCTTCCAGGCAGGAATTGGAAATCCAAAAGCCCCGGAGCTGCCGGTACCTTGTCCGCAAGACTGCACTTCAAATTTGGACTCGTATTAGGGTTTATAAATATAGGGTTTAGGGTTTAGGGGTTTAGGGTTTAGGGTATTCAAGAATTGGAGCCGTAGGTTTTGGCAGAGTTGGGATTTTTGCTGCATGTGTAGCACAACTGTGATGCGATCATCCACCGCGAGTCCTCAAGATCGAAGTTCATGGACGTAGACCAGTGGATACGAATTATTTCAGGTACAAGCCCCTCAGTCCATAATCCATCTGCTCCCAGCCTATATCGGCATCGGTGCGGGCAAACAGCAAGGATGCAAAAATGCAAGGCCCTCAGTCTTTTCCAGCACCAAAGAGCTCCTTACATGTAAATCGTATGCGAAGGTGTTGCATTTAATAAGTAGGGTCTGCAGCAGATGAACCTTTTATAGGTTGGGGGGGATGCTTCATTGGTTGGTTAGTTCGTGAGGCATGGCGCCAGGTCAGCTCAAGCGAACATCCCTGTTCCGTCATGCCGTTGACTGCAAACGGTGCGGGAAAGCTAGTCTATAGCAGCTATTCCGACTCAGAATCCTTGCAAGGATCCTGCTCGAGAAGAGGCAGGAAATCCTGGAAAAGGCATCCCGACCACCTCGACTGTTTCGATGTTTCTGTTTTGCAACGATATGGTTTATGCCATCATGCGGAGAGTTGATGGCAAACACTGGCTGACCTGTCGGTGATGGAACAGCAATGTATGGCGAAAGAGATCCAGTCCATGCAATCCGCAGCTGCTGGTTTAATGCTTCTGCTTCCGCATGCATACACACTCAGGCAGCCTTGATTTTCTGCTTATGGACAGACATCCAGTGCCCACGTTCCCAGCCTGCCGGCAAACCCACAACATTTTTAGCGTTTTCCGTCCGACGTTCAGCATCTGGGAATCGGAATCAGATTGGCAGTGAGCAGTCAGAGCCGTGCAGGGACTCCCCCACCCCCCCGACAATAGAGATTTGTGACTTCGCGATCGCTGCCTTTGGCACTCGAGAAGGCCGGGTATGGAGACATGATTTGGGATTCAACTTTCAAGTTCCAAGTCTGAGCTGACAACCCTGTGCTGCAGATGCGTCTTTGGCCTTGCAGACACAAAGCCACTGCACAGCGTAGTAGCCGCAGCAGCAACAAGAACAACCAGCACCAGCACCAGCGCCAACACCACTGCACCTGCTCCTGCTCTTTCTCCTGCACCTGCACCTGCACCTAAAACCTGCTGCTGCTGCTGCATCACCACCAGCCCCGGCCCTCATGAGAGCAACAGCCAGAACTGCACAGGAGAAGGCGTAATGGGCGGCCAGGGTAAAGGGTCTAGTTCTCTGGAAGTTGCGCTATGCAGCTGCAGCTGGAGGCTCGCTTGCAGAGGTCCTTCTTGGACAGCCTGTTGCTTTCGCAATCACCCGACCTTTCCGGGGGGAGGGTCCAGGCCTCACTTAACTAGTCAATACATGTCACACAGATTGTACAAGAACGATCATTTATCACAACGTCCGTAAGGCAGCAATGCAAACCCTGATTCCTTGTCCAACGTCAGGACATGGATATTCTGACGCACAGCGTGGACTTCGCACTCCATCCTCTGGCGTCTAAGCTGATGTTTACTGCTCAGGGCGCTGTGCAGTGGTAGCGGAAACGAGGCACAAACGTCTTCCTAGGCAAGGCTATGCAAAGGAACTTGCCACACATTTGCACAGACTAACTATAGATCGCAGGGACCAAGAGCCTGAGGTGTACAAGTCATGCCCTTCGGGGCTTCTTAGGGCCAGGGATTTGCTTACTAGGAAGATCCCTTTTCGAACGAGTTCCCACCGCTGTTTGACGGACCCCACTACATGAGATGTTTTCAGATGTGGTGGCCGTGGCGGCTGCGAAGTAGCACGTCGTTTGTCGAGTAGGTCCAGTAGTATGAGATCTCAGAAGATGGGACAACGGATCATCCCCTGTATCAAACTCCAGTACAGGCATGGCCCATGCTGGCCAACACGGAGGCAAGCGAGGGTGCAGTGCCAGGCTCGACAAGCGGATCGCAATTGCAAGTGGAGAATCAGGGAACCTCAGGGACTAAGGGAGGCAGGGGATTCAACGATTGAGGGTGTAGTCTGCAGGGTCTTAGCTGCAGAATTAGATGAAATTGCGAAGGCACTTTGAGTGCGCCCTTGTCTGAAACCGTGTGCATGAGAGACCTTTCGGCGGACTCCAGGTGTGTGCGACAAGCTTCATTTTTTCTAGTCGACACCGTGAGAAGCCTGGTCAAGGAAGGAATGAGTGAGAGAGAGCGCGCGAGAGCGAGAGAAAGAGGCGAAGAGTACTCGGGGGCGCGCAATACCCCTCCAAGAAGCAGCTCTGTACAAGCGGACGACGCAAGCCTGATTCTGAAGCGAAAGCGCACGATATCACAGCTCAAGCTCCAAAGAGCCGTGTATCATGTGGAGTGGAGTAGTTCCGAATCCCTCTTCTAAGTGTCCTTTTGCCAACAAACTCTGGTTGAAATAGACGCCCAAAGGAAGCCGGGTTTAGAGCAACCCCAATACGGCCCTTTACAGCAGATCCTACCAGCCATGCATAAGCTTCCGAGACCTTGACCCAACCCTAAACTCCAAACGCGGGTCCCAAACCCAGTCGTTAGAGACCCCAATCTAGCCCTAATCCCGAAGCCCATTCCAGGTGGAATGTCTTTACCCAAGGGGGTCACACCTGTGGGAGCTGGCATCGTGGCCGTGGTCGTTCGGGGCCCATGCGGTCTCATGCGTTGAGGGTTGTGCTAGGGCTCTTTGCCCTACGAGGGGTTCTCGAACTTTGAGTGTCTAGGCTTCAGATGTTTGGTGGTTTTTAGAGGTACAGTGAGGTTATGGCATAGTCTCAGAATCGCTTGGCATCTCGGGTGTACCCGAGCAACTCCTTGCGTACACGAGGTCATCATTGCCATTTCGGTGATTTCCATCTTTCTTGGCGCGCTCCTGGCGCAGAAGAACACGGCGACTGGCGGCGTGACTTTTATAAGAGTCTACAGGTCTGAGATTTGCTGCTACCTTCCCTTTGAGCCCACAGTTAACGCCACGCAGTATATATCACCTTGCAAGCGCACACACACACACACACGGCACACGGAAACAAACAAACGTACACGCACAGAATCACACTCATGCGCTCAAGCATGCTTACATGCTTACATGTGGCTAGACATGTACACATGTACTGCTTTGGCCCTGACCGGCCCAAAAGCCGCAGGATGGCAAGTGCTTGAAAATGTGCTTTGCCGGCTTGGCCCCTGATTGCGGGCGTTGAATTTTGAGCACGAAAAGAGCACGGAACTGCCTGGACAAACACTGCGTGTTGATGTGTTGATCGTGAGCGCCGGTTCTCTCTTTCTTGCAAACACATCGAGCTGCCAGCAGCTTCGAAGCATGTGCGTGGGACCTAGGCAAGATCTTCAAGCTTGCAGCCAGCGAGTACAAAATCCTCATTCCGGCCACCTTCAGCCTTTATCTCAACAGCAGCTGGGTTTGCAAATTTTCGGGCTTTACAGGCCACGTCAGAGACGCCCCAGATCTCAGAGAGCCAGAAGACTACCGGTGTTGAACTCCAACTGGCCACGTCGAAGCTGAGGTGCATTGTTCATGCTTCTGCCGTATTATGGTGGACGATTCGTCGAAATGGTCGGCCGGCCGGCAGGAGTGTCGATGGATGCGCTAAACCAGGTGCCGGGCGTGTGTGTGTCAGACTCGTGTCAGGATGTAGTGCTCGAGCATTTGACGGTGGCGAGATCTCTTGGCATAGCTTGATGAATATCGTGCAAGGCCGCGCATTCGAGCACACCTGACCTTCGGCATAGGGCGCATGAGATGATCTAGGACGGCTTGCTCGTCAGAAGCCTCGATCTGTCGAGGGTTCGATGGGGTCCTACAGCTCTCGCAGGTGACAGCCGAAATCCTGGTCGTTGCCGTCGCTTCTTCACTCACCTCCATGATCCGAGGCCAAGGGTTCGAGCCAGGGCAACTATCAAGTTTATCATAGATTGTCATAAATATGATCTGGGGCACTGGTGTTCCTGCTCGTGCGACTATCAAGCATGCTGTTGTACAGGCTGTTTTCGTTACAGGTGTAGGGATCGTCTTCTAGATTCTAGCTGCAGGATGCAGATGCCCACCCGAGAGAGCCAAGGTTTAGTGAAGGACACAATGGCCACAGCAGCAAGAATACAGGGAGGAGGATCCTGAAAATGAAGGACACAAACATCTGGAAGATTCCCTGTCAGGTGCTTTGTTCGTCCTCGCCGGCGAGCGCATCGTCTGCGAGCTGAGGAAGCAGGCTACGCACCCTAAACTGTGAAGTAACAGCTTTGGACACATTAACTAGCAAAGAATCTTGCGCAAGGATACTCGCGAAACATGCTGTTCATGATCCGATGCCCGTCGAGAAACAGCTGTCTGGACACAAATCCCTACGCCAGTGTGTGCAGCCGCTTATGAGGCTTAGGCAAGTCTTCAGGCTGCAGATTCCATGTCAGCATCCGCTATCAAGCGGTCATGTGGGTAGTTCTCAAAACTAGGGTCCCGTGTTTTGGGTCACCAAAATAGTACGGCCCCCTTGTGAAAGGACCCTAAACGGAAACTTATTTTAGAGAACTACCTAAACCCGAAACCCTAAACCCCAATCCTTTAAACCCTAAATACGATCATAGATTGTGTTCTACTCGAAATTACTATAACTTACTATAATATACTATAACATACTACAGAATATAATACACTAGAATATTAGAATGTACTATAATATACTACCAAACACACCAAAAAAACCTGTGAAGTTCCAGGTTTTCCGAGCTCTGCTCCGCCAAGAGATTGCCTTCTTCGACGTGCAGACAACTGGGGCCCTTCTGTCGGCACTGTTTTTTCATAGTGTAGTAGAATATATTCTAGTATTTTATGGTGTATAGTATAGTAAAATAGAGTAGACTGTAGTATATACCAGAGTATATTAATGGTATGCTATAGTATAGTACGAGGGCTTCCAAGAGAGATCCTTGCAATCCTGCTCGTGCAGCACCTTTGTTGGCCAGGCATTGGTGTCCCGGTTGACAAATGATACCGGCACTTTGCAGAATGCCGCACCTAGTCCGCAACGGACAACCTCTCAGATGCATTCGTGGAGCTGGAGTGCGCCTCCTTAGGGCTTACTTGGGCATCCCAAAGCCCACCATTTTAAGGGTTCTGCCTGCCCTCTAATTGAGGGGTCATGACCTACTATTTTGTAGGGTTGGGGGTCACAGGTAGTGCCATCCAAGGCGAGCTCGAACATCTCCATTTTCCTGCGCAGCAGCGCGAGCCTGCTGTTGTCCGTGATCGTGATGCTCGCGGCTCTGCCAAAGACTGACCAAACACTCAGACACAAACAAGGTGGCACTGTCCTTGTGGGTTCGATTTGTGTGCGTCAGACAGTAGTAGCAGGCCCAACCCTTCGTCGCTCTGCCTAGGAGCAGCGACAGCCACACTGGTCTTAGTCAGTTAGTCTTACCGTCTCTACTATTCTGTCCGACATCTTGTGCTGGCTCTAGCAAATCGCAAATGGCCCAGAATAGGATAATCATAGGAAAAACATAGGAATCCTGGTTTTTCGGAACTAGAAACAACATAGGAGAAAGATAAAAGAAAAACAAGAACCCCGGCCCGCTCTTCCCGCGCTCTTTTCTACCCTGAGGGCCTGCGTTTTTCATATTTGTTCCTAGTGTTTTCCGTACAGTTCCTGTGTATGTTTCCCTATGTTATTCCTATTTTCCCCCTATGTTATCCCATTTTATTCCTATGTTCTACTTGTTTTATTCCTATTGTTCTCCTATGTTTTCTTTATTTGATGCCTATGTTTCTCCTGTTTCCATATTTTCCTTTTTGTTGTCTTCCCTGCAAACCTGGAATTCCTATATTTTTCTCTTTTTCTCTTAAACCGTGGTTTTGGAGGTTCTCTAGGATTAGCATGAGTCGGACATAGCTTTGCCGATCTATGGTCATCATATCTGTTCTTTCTGGTTGCTATGTTACTTTTTTTGAAATTACGATTGCTTGTCTTACCGCTGCTGCTTTTACTGCTACCAGTACTGCCGACGCTGCCGCTGCTGCTGCTGCTGCTTCTGCTCCTGCCGCTCTTCCTCGTACTGTACCATTACTACTACTACATGTACTATACTACTACTACTACTACTACTACTACTACTACTACTACTCCTGCTGCTGCTGCTACAGTACCTTTCAGTGTTCCTTTCCCAGGTGACTTCTTGGAAACTGACCTTAGCTATGCTGGTCACAGTGCCAGTCGCGTCTTGGTTGCGATAGTAAAAGAGAATGAACGAAGCTTCCTTCGGTTTGCGATCAGGATCAGGACCCGTGGCTTGGACATGTCAGCACCAAAAGACCACTTTCACACCGTGAGAGGGCTGCACTGTACCTGGTACCTCAATCGATACTTGGTCCTGCTACGTTTGGAAGGCCCCGAATCCTAAAAGACCGTTCAAGCCAGGCTCAGCTGAAAGCCCTAAGCCACATCCAGGTTAGCATTTTAGCCGTGTTCATGAGTCAGATCTCCCAGCGCGTGAGCAAGAAGTACCAGGATGAGATTCTTGGCCTTGTCTTAGCCCATGCAACTTGTAGTCACGATCTCGGAGTGGGCATCCACAAGGATTTCAGAGGAATTGGAGGTTTGGGGCATGCCTTTCTTCTGCAGTTTCTGGGCAGCGGCCGTCCGTTGTCCATACGCGTGGGATCGGGTTCCGATACACATGCCGGTCAGACATTTCTGAGAACTCGGCGCCGACTCAAATTGTCTCTGGAGACGTTTCGCACTCGAAAGCTTGAGACGATGCAGTCATGCAGCAAGTCGCCAACAACCTCAATGCTGTTGTGATCACATCCTAGAGTTTTCAGGCCCCGGGTTCTGCTTGCAAACACCGCTTCGCAGTAACTTCGTGGAGAATCAAGGACTGCAGAAGTCGGAAATCTGGCCTCAGAGACTTTTGGCAATCTTCGCACAGTCCGTGCGTTCAGCTCCGGAGAAAAGCTGATGGACAAGAAGTATTGCGGCCCGGCAGAAGTTGTTTCGGAAGCAGAGGGTAGCAACTGGCATGCCGAAGGAAACACGGCAAGGTTGCCAGATGCTCCCTGCTGCAAACTAGTCGTATCCAGCATCAACATGGCACACCTAGATTCATGCGAACAGTGTTGGGCTTTCGGCCGCTAGCTTTTCAAGCGCCTCCTTGTCGTGGACTATCTCAGACTGCAAGCTACGTGTGGAAAGGTGCTGCAAGTGATCTCGTCTACCGATATGGTCGACAGCGATCGATGATCTACGGAGCATGGTCTGGCGTAGCTGGAAACTCGGGTTGTGCAGCAAAACAGCAGCATGAGCTAGTGAGCTAGTGCAGAGACGACAGATTCGGTGATTGTCGAATTGCAAGTGATGAGTCAGGTCGGCATGCTCTTCTTCGTGGCTTTCACCATTGTGCTTCGGTACGGTCGGGCCCCTGCTATGTAGGAGCCAGCACCATCTTGTTCTACGGGCATAAACATGGCACAAACATGGCCCAGTGGTTCAAGGTAAGACTAAAGACCTGGCTCATCGAAAACCCTCACAGAGACAAGGCCTAAGCCCTAAACTCCAAAAGGTGCGACCCTCGTCCACGAGGGAGAGATGACCTCCGGGCAGCTGATCTCCTTTGTGCTCTACACGGTGCCTTGCAGGACATGGCCTTTCAGGGTTGAGGGCGCGCAAGGAACAGCCCGAAGAGACCGCATTGACTTCTCCAATCCCGAAGCAGTGGATCCGACTCTTGTAGTTTATGTGGAGCTATTTCGTTACCATAGCCTTGACAGAGCACCTATCGTAAGCCCCAAAAAGTTGGAAACCGGATTAGGGACAAATAGTGCTGGGATTCCTTCTACATGACTCTCAAGGATTGAGGCTATTGGGTTTCCAACTGTTGGCCTTCGAGTAGAAACCCCAAAACTCGGAGCTACAACCAGTATTTTTGACAATCAATTCCCAAGCCCCCAAGCCCTATAGTCGCAGCACAGCAACCTTGTATACAGCTGTTTCAGGGAGTTACTGGCAGTAAGCATTCGGGCGAGAGGGGTCTCATTGTGAGGAACACAGATTTTTTCAGTCTATAGGGATCACTCTCTGGCCCCTTTTGCAAGAGCCCTTGTGGGACGCGGACGCCGCTTTGCAAACAGATTGCTTGCCCCGTAGCCTTGTAGCGATTCCCAACATCACCACAAACAGCGAAATTCTCATAATAAGAACCCGAATATCCACTTTACTACTACTTTGAGAGTGTGTGTCCCTTGCATAGGAGGATGCAGGGGACGAGGCAGACCTGTTCGAGACCACGACGAACAAGCACATCGACCCTCGTCGAAGGCTAGACTCCCTTTGTCTACGGGTTAAGGGTTTAGGGTTTAGGGGGCATGTACCCAATGCAGGATTTATATCACCAACCGCAGTGGGGCTACTTTCAGGCCAACGTATGTACTGTCTGGGCACATGGACCGCTAGGGTTTGTCTCTTGTCCTGCTTCTTCTTCAGTAGCTATAAACTTATAACTGCCCAAAAGTTGGACACCCAATAGCCTGAATCCTTAAGAGCAAAGTATAAGGAATCCCAGCACTATTTGTCCTTAATCCGGTTTCCAAGTTTTGGGAGTTTACTATAGGCGGTTCTTTGTCTCTGTGCTTTTGTCCTTTGTCTTTGTTAAGGTCCTATCGAAATTGATTGCAGTCTCCAAGTCTGTTTTCGTGTGTTCTTGTTAAGTAACTACAAGCAACCCTAAACCCTAAACCCTAAACCCAACTTGATTGCAGAAACCACGATCATGGCTAAGTGCTTTCCTTTTCTGGTTCTTGACAACAATCCAGAGACTTTTAGGAATCTCCTCTGCGTTAGTTCGAAGATACTAAGTTTCTGGGTTTAGGGATTAGGGTTTTAGGGTTCAGTAGGGCCTAATAGGGTTGGTTTCTTCTTCTACCTGCGGCCCCGAAGCCTATCCTAGACCCTTACTCTAGGCCGTGCCTGAACCCCAGATCGTAGACCCTGCAGCCAAAGCCCAACCAAAATCGAAACCTGAGCTCACCTATGGTAACCCGATGATGTCTGTGTATCTTCTGTTGTCTATATACTTCCAAGAGATATATACTTATAACAGCATATACCATACAGATATATTATACAAAATCAGTGAAGAGGGATGCTACAAAGACATGAATTTCTTTGGTTCCAGACAAATCCTGAGTGCAGCCCTTGGTTCCTGTCCTACCTGGACCGCAAACAAGCCTACCGTTTGAAGGACTTACACAAGGAAGTCATACGAGGGAACCCTTAAAAAAACAGGTTTTATAGGCTCCAGGTAGTTCCTGTGCTTGCTTCCTGCAAGGCAGACTTGAACCCTAAACTAAACCATAAACCCTAAACCCTAAACCCTAAACCCTACACCTAAACCCTAAACCCTAAACCCGACATGCTCAAACCTTCCCCGGAGCCGGCAAGGCTTCTTTCAACTCTGCGTGTGTTCAAAAACCCCCCCATAAACCCTAAATCCCTACACCCCTAAACCATAAACTGCCATAAACCCTAAATCCCTAAACCCTCACCCAAAACATGTATAGATCCCTTATAGAGCCTTTTTAAGGAGCCCTTTAAAAGGAACCCTAAATCCCAAGACACCCAGGAGCGATTGAATCGTCCATGGCGGCGCACGCCGGAACACAGCAACAACGTCCTGCAGTCTTTATGGCTCGACTATGACGCTCCATCTTAGGGTTTAGGCATTGTAGGGTTGTGGGGTTTTAGGGGGTGTTCCTGATGATAGTTATAGTATACTATTTGTATACTATACCCCAACACCCTATATTAATTATGGCTCGATTATGAAGCTCCGTCTCAGGGTTTAGGGTGTATAGGGTTCAGGCCTTGTGGGGTTTAGGGCTTAGCGTTTATATGGCTCGACGATGAAGCTAAATAGTTAACGATTATACTATGTTGGGGGGTTCCTTATTTTAGTTATAGTATAATATATGCCAACACCCTATTCTAAACATGGCTCGACTATGAAGCTCCGTCTTGGGGTTTAGGGCTCATAGAGTTTAGGGTTGAGGGAATATGGGGTTTAGATGGAGGGTATAAGTTATAGGATATGAAGCTTAGTCGAGCACGCGGAACATAGGGTTAAGGGCTGATAGGGCGGACAAACCCTAAACCGAAACACTATGAAACCTCGTCTATCGTTCAAGGCTAATTGGTCCTTAAGTTTTAATTATGAAGCCTGGTGCTGTGTCATCGAGTCGTGCGGCTTGGGGGCGAGTGAGTTTCTGACTTTCTGGGATCATAGTCCCAGACGAATCCCGTCTTTAATTCTGCGGCTAGACTTAACAGTTAAGGAAAAGTCTGGCAAGACTGGAGCGTTCTTGGGCTGCTGGGTGTCAATGGTTCTTGGACCAGACAGTGCACTCTCTGCAAGCCCATCCATGCTCGAAGCGTACGCTGCAAATCTTGAGCCGATTAGCCGCTGTATCGACTATGTGATGTGGATGCTGCCGCACTCTTCTGTGTACATCATGGGCTTTTCCTTCCTCCACGAAGTGCTGAGTTTCACGAAGTTCAAGATCTACTGCTCCGAAGACGGCTCTGCGTGGCACGAGGTGTTTTCCTCCAACCGACAAATTCCCAAGGGCGAAGTCGTCGTATGCAAGAGGCTACCTCACATGGTGAGGTGGTTCAAAGTCTCTGTTTCAGAAGCTTAGTCCTCCAATACCCAACCTTTAAAAACTTGTTGGTTCTTATAATTTGGTAGGAACCTGAAAGTTTGACCTGGTATTTTCGTGGCTTATTGGGGAAGTAAGGAAGGTTGCTGGAGTAATACTTTCAACATCCACGGTATCGTGACTGGCCTGAAGCCGACGAGACGCACATGACCAGTGACGCTGCTGATGATTTCAATCCTGCACTACCTTAAGGACCCTAAACTATGGGGAGTTATGGTATGTTCCTTATCATGGGTAATCCTGCACAACCTTAAGAACCCTAAACTATGGGAGATATGGCATGTTCCTTGTTACCGGTAATCGAGGATTTATATCATCAAGGCCCCTAGAAACCTAAACCGTTGTAGTAGCCCTTATAGAACCCTTTAAGGAACCCTTAAAAGGAACCCCAAACCTGGATTTAGATCATCAGCCGCAGTCACCGAAGACAGAAAGCTGTGCGAAAAGCAGCTCCAGTCTGCGCCGGAGATGTGGGATTTTCCTTAAAGTGGGGTACCTTATTTTAGGGTCCTTATAATAAGGATCCTATTATTTGGGTTACTATATTAGGGTCCCCCATTTTCGGAAACCCCCATGTGGTTCAGCGCCAGCTTACGGATAGTTGTCCCTAAGGCTCCATGTGCCCATATAGTAGATACTTAGGCCTCAAAGTACCTATATAGAGACCCTAAACCCTAAACCCTAAACCCTAAACCCTAAACCCTAAACCCTTTAAGGCTTAAGCCCTAGACCCTAAACCCTAAACCGATATGGGTACATGGAGCCTTCGGGTGCTGGTTTATGTTAAAGGGGCTCCGTAAGCTGGGATGACGGTGGGTGGGGGGTTCTCCCCAGTAAGAGTCCTTAGTATAGGGGCCCAAACAATTGCCAATTGTATTTGGTTGGGGGGGCTCCTTACTATAAATATAGTATAATAGGCCCCAGAACTCTATTCGAATTATAGACACCCCCCCCCTATATTGTATAAGGGACCTTCATCCCACCCTTCGCGGCCTCCGATTAAATTGGTTGAGGATCCAGGTATGGTGCGGCTTGGATCTGGGCTTGCCCGTTGGTGTACGAGTTGATGTTTCAGCCAATATGACATGTAATATGATTTACATATGCCAGAACGTACCCCCAAAACCTGTGCAGGATCGGTTGTTTATACTTTAAACCCTAAGGCTCCACATCTTAACGTATGAGTCCTTAGAGCTTTAGGGAAAGTTCATGTATGATGATTAGGGTCTAGGGACTGGGGATTAGGGTTTAGGGTTTAGGGTTGATGTCCTTCTTGCTTCAAAGTTTCATCTATGATGTCCTTCTTGCTGTAAAGTTCATCTATCATGTCCTTCTCAACCCTCAACCCTAAACCCTAAACCCTAATCCCTCAACCCTATAATCCCTAAACCCTAAACCCTCAACCCTCAACCCTAAACTCTTTGAGCCCTGAAACGTTCAGAAACTTCGGCCTTCTTCAGGTCCCCGCGCCTCCGAGCCGAAGAGAGGAGCTGCGCGGCCTCTCCTTGAGACCAAAATGGGAGTTTCCGAAGAAGAAGGGTTTAGGGTTTAAGGTTTAGGGTTTAGGGTTTAGGGTTCAGGGTTTAGGGTTTAGGGTTGGGGGTAGAGATATGAAAGGTTTAGAGTTTTAGGGTTCTTTTTTTTGGGGGTCCTTATAATAAGAATCCTACTGTTTAGGGAACTCAATTAGGCCCTAGTTTTCCGGGGGTTTGGGGATCCTTGAAGCCCTAGAAGCCCAGGAAATCTACACCCGGTTTGGGTTTAGGGTTCAGGGTCTAGGGATTAGGGTTCAGGGTTTAGGGTTCAGGGTTTAGGGTTTAGGGTCTGGGGTTAAGGGGTTGGGGGTTTAGGTTTCAGGGTTTTAGGGTTCAGGGTTTTGGGTTTAGGGCTTAGGGTCTGCACCCTCAGCGGGGCGTTGTAACATTGCAGACAAGCCCGACCACTCGGAGATGAGACTCCACATCATCGGCATAGTATTCCTTACATTGTTTCTACTAAAGTAAAGGAATAAAGGGTAAACAAATATAGAATTGTGGATAAACTATAGATTTTTTGTTTGCTGTAGTTAAATTTATACCATAGAATACCCTAAAACTGTTCTGGCTGTGCCCGGCGATCAGTAACCGTTCAGCAGGATCCCCGTACCAGTTTGTGCACCAGCCAGCCGTATGAGTCAAAAGGAACGTGGACCACTCAATGCTACACTCCTCTACTTTAACGAGGATTACAATATTTGGGCGGTGAAATGACAGGGATTTCATTGCTCAGCGGTCTACATTACTATGAACCCCAACTCCATAAGGACTGAACCCAGAGGCCGGCACTGAAACTTGAATCCTTAGCCTGAAATCCTGCGCCTAGATTCGCAAACCATTAGCCTTTAAACCCTAACGATGATCCAGAGCCCTACACGTTAGGCTCCAAACACTATTCCCAACATTTCCTCCTCAGAACCCCGATATATCTGTATACGACCCGCCATATATCCATATCAACCCAGTCTTCGAAACGAGCCATGGCTGCCCTACATGCGTGGCTATGCCGTTGTCGCACAGCATGGCGACGAGTGGAATCAGGTTTTGCACGTGCTACATGGCCAGACTTGATTTTTGTCGGAAGGGCGGGTCATGGGGTTGATAGTGTAGGAGTTCAGGACCATAAATTTAAATCCTAATCACCCTAGATCTTCGACCATCAAGTTTTGAACTTGCTGCATGGCCCTGTTTCCTTTTGTCTTGCCTAAACCCTAAACCCTAAACCGTTGGGGGTTTTAATTGTGTTGGAGGTGGGGATACATGGCCACATTTGCTTTTGCTTGGGAGGGTCTTGATACCCATAGGCTCCATAGCACTTCCTTTTTGGGATTTCCTTATAGGATCCCGGATATGAAACACCCAAAAAGGAACTACTCTGGAGCCTGTGGATTGCGTAGGAGCGGAGGGACCCTCAACGCTACACGCTACTCGGGTTTTGAGCTTTACAGCTGGATGTTGCACCATCTTCAGGGCAAAATGTCGGGTCCTGTGTTCAGGGTTTACAGGCAAAGGGTAGCTGACGGGGTAGAGGTACGCGATAGAGGGATCCCGTAATATCCAGTACAAGCAATAGTCGTAGGCATTCATGGTATGGCGGGGTGGCTGAAGGGGTAGAGCGACCGACGTAGCTTCTGCTCGCTGGCTTGGAAAGGCTTTCAACGGCCCGAAATGTGCGTCTGCATACGAGCATCATCGACTACAACGTCGTCATCACAGTGACCCGGTGGCTTCGGATTGTTCTGTTCCGCATTGAAAAGGGTGCGAGTTTTTTGAGTTCAGCTTGTTCTAGGTCCGGATGCCCCTTCTTCATCGTAGCTGGTGATTTTGTGGGCCTTCCTGGTGGCTTTTGTTTGAGAGCCACCTCCCACGTTCATGAGGGCAATCAACGACGGCCCTTGTCTACCTTCACCATTACACTGATCATTGATCTCAGTTCCTTCTGCTAATGTTCGGGCTCAGGGCTTGCCCTACCAGATAATGGTTTAGGCTAGGGATCATCATCTGCAAGCACTTTACACAGTCCAAGCAAGCCACGCAACAAGTAGACAACGTTGCGGGTCTTGCTGGGGTTACAAAGACGTCATCATGCAGTTTGCATGGCGCCAGATCATGCCCTGCCGAAGAAAGAGAGTCCTGTAGTCTATGGCGGATACAGGTCGTTTCTGCATCTTCCGACACCCAAATGACCTAAAAGCCTTTAGCCTTTGGCTTAGGCAAATGTAGTACCTTGTTTACCATTGCTTTTCATAGTTAGTTATTGTAGGGTACTGACTTCCCAACCATAGACGAGGTTATCCAAAAATGGTGCTACATTCCAGCGGATTCCAGGTTCTACGTTCCAAAGCCGCACAACAAAGCAAAGGCCTGCGGCAGAGGAGGCCAATGGCGAGGTGCCAGAGGCTTCCTTCGCCTCCTCCGCCTGCGCGGCCTGCGCAGCAGCCGTGGCCTCTGTGCTATCGCAGCTTCCGAGAATGAACGAACAAGATAGAGAACCGAAAGACCTAATTAAGCAGTATAGGCTTTGCCTGTTTAAGCAACGGATGCAGCACTGCTTGATTTATTGGAACTAGTAAAACCGGAAAGTGCAGATTGGAGCTGGGTTGCTCTTCTGTGCTTAACACCCTCGGAGTAACCCTAAACCCTACTGCAAACCCTAAGAGTTGTCTCAGGCCTTGTGTCCTTCAACGCGGCCAGCAGCGCTTGCGAGCGAGGAACGGGTCGGGCAAACCCGTAAACCTAGCTGTAATTCAAGGGGACTTAACAATTACCAATCCTATTTTGGGAGTTCCTCATGATAATTATGGTATACTGGGCCCGAAAAATCTATTCTAGTTACTAAGGCCCCTATATTAGCTGTACCTTCTATAACCCTTTGTCGTCTTGAAATTGGGCCGGGTTTGGAGCTGAAGCCTCCTGCTGCGAGCCTGCTATACCTTGAGCCACCACCATCATCACCACCGTGGGTTTAGGGTTTAGGGATCATCATCCTCCTCCTCATCATTATCATTTGCATGTCTACCTCATTTACCCCTTTTGCTATTCTTTACCACCTAAGCTCGGGTGTTCGTTGGGGGAACCCTTTCTGCGCAGCAGGCGTTTGTAGCAAGGATCTCCTTCATCTCGAAGAGCAGCTTGGGAGCCTTCAGGGGTTATACCGTTATACCCTTCGGGTTAGGGTTTAGGCTTTAGGGAGTTTTCGGGTGTTTCGGGGGTTTCCGGGGTTTCGGGGGTTTCCGGGGTTTAGGGTTTAGGGAGTTTCGGGTTTTTAGGGGGTTGAGGGCGTTTAGGGTTTAGGGAACCCTGCAGATGTGAGACTCCGACGGTGGAGCTGCTCAGTTCGGAAGCGGGGACGTGATCACAGATCTGAAATCTCACCGAAACCCCAACACACCGAGTCAAGGATTCCATCATCAATTTCGTAAATCACAGGGACAAGACCATGATATAGAATCACGCCGCTTGCTAATAGAAGGGATACTTGGCTGTCTGGGCGACACTTCTTCCAGTCTAGTGTCTCGGATGGGATTCCTCCAGATTCAGATTGGCTTGAGGTTCGCTTTCAGCGTTTATTGCGCTGAAGTGGGCAAATTTAAAAGCGTCTGCTTGAAGATTGGATCGCACAAGCTGCACTTATTTTCCATCTTTGGGCAGGTATCTCCCATGAAATATCCTGCACGCAGCATCCGGTTCCCTATACCCTTCAACCCCCAAAGCGGTAAAACCCTACCCCTCCTCTCTAAAACAAAGCACGAAACCCAAGGCCCGAAGTATGAATGGCTGCACCCTGAGTCACGCAGGCAGCGCCTGGCAGTGGTCTTTGAGGCACCGTGGCACAGAGCTGCTTAACATAGGTGCTTTAATGGGTTGAACTATACTCATAATTAGAATGTAGGGTGGCTTTGTCAGGAGTTACGATTCTTTGGGGAAGTATCCCCCATAAAAGTACATAGGACATAGGACCCTTTGGGTCGTGGAACACCCCCGCGAGCCGCAGTTGCCGTTTTATATCCGGAACCGCCGTGAACGGAAAAGCCCACGAAATCTCATGCCGGAAGCCTCAAACCGTGCCCAAAGGCACCGTGGCTCGCACACGCTCTATGCCCCAAAGCCAGCAGCCCAGACCACTATCCTCCGAACCCCTCGAACAGAACAGAACGCATTTTTCTGCTAAGCCCTACACCTCTAAGCCTAAACCCTATAAGGTCCAATGCAGTGCTCTTATCGAGGCTCCTGGCCGACTTGGCAGCATCTCATCATCGCCCTGACGAAGCTGCTTGGAAGAAGCCTGAGCGGTCTTTGGATTATTAGATTTAGGGCTTCAATCCTGCAGTGTTGTAGAAGTTGATGGAAACGGCGCCTATATGGGGCCGTGCGTTCAGACACATGTCAAATTTCGAACAAACGCTTCGCGAAAATGCATGTTCGCGAAAAGTTTGTGTGAGCTTCTAGTGCTTTCGGCACCTGCGAAAGCGCATGACCCATACAACAGGCGCGTTTCGCTTGAGTTTTGGCCACGCCGCCGCCTTGCACTAACAAGACAATGTCTCCAAGCGCACGGCCCCGTGCGGGCGCCGTCACCTAGTTTAAGTAGTTTAGGGTTTAAGATTGAGGATGTTGGCTTCTATTCGCAATAAACCTTTCTTTCGGGGCGTAGGGCTGGAGGTTTAGGTACTCCTGTCACAACTGGTGTCCAAGGTTTTTTCGGTTAAATACCCTCTACCCTCGGAATCCCCAGACGTGGACACGTGCTATCCAAGGCGTACCTTAGGTAATTTGTGGTTTTGGGGTTTAGGGCGCAGTGATCTAGGGTTTGGCTTTACGGTAGTTGTTATGCCAAAGTTGAAGCTCCTGCCCGACCGCCAGGATTTGCAGGAGCCGCACTGGAGTTCACGGTTTTGTCATGACAATACCTCCCCTACTGTACGCCGAAGAACATCCTTCTTCCCCAAACCCCTAAACCCTAAACCCGTAAACCCCTAAACCTGTAAACCACTAAACCCTAAACCCGTCCTCCCTAAATCCTAACGTCTGTAGAACTCCCCTCTCATGGTCCGGGCTGCCCCAGGGAGGTTTCTGGTTTGCGGTTAGGGCTCTTAGGTTTGTAGGTGCCGTCAATGCTCCTGTTTTCCCCGACTACTGGCACTTGAGGGCCACGTGAAATTGTGAGGGTTTGTGAGTTTGATCGCCTCCCCTTCCGGTTACCCGGACTGGCACTGTGACGGCATTGCAGTCAGGCGGCTTTCGTTGCTAGGGGTGTGCTTGGCTTATGATTCAGAGCTTAGAATTGCGGGGGGCTTGTTTTGGTTCTCTTGTCCTTTAAAGTCGTCTCCAGCATTGGGAGTCGCGGCTGTGGTTGAGCTACTCAGAATTGGGTCTGTGTAGCATCTTGTTCGGCAATACAAATCAGCAGGGACAGCGTCCCAAGTCCGCCAAATGAAAAGGGGGTGGACTAATTCAGAAGTCAAGGCAGCCTACACATGCTGTTGCACTGGAGCCCACAAATTGAAAAACCCGCAGTTAAAACCCCTAGCCCGTATAGCACTTACAGTCTTCCAGGTCATGAAGTTTACCGAAGAGTTACAATATAGCACCATTCAATACCCAAGCACCTAACACCCCAACACATGACCCCGACCTACACCCTACAGATCTTTGCTGGACTGAATAGCTAGTAGTGATGTCCACTTGTAGTCCCTGTATGGTTATAGTTTCCCTCCACCCCTTAACCCTATTCCAGCCGACCGCCGCTCTACTTCACCTTAAGAATTTGTATGGAACCCCAGGAAGACAACAAGAGTGAGAACTCCCGGCACTACCTTATGATATACTACACACCCTGTTCTCGAACTCGACATTTTTTTCGAACTCTCAGAAAAATCCCTAAACCCTAAACCCTAAACCCTAAACCCTAAACCCTAAAGCAAGCCTTCTGAGTGCCCGGGCCCTGGCGTGTTCACGAACACAGGCGCACTTTGGGCCCAGGCGCTCGAGGCCTCGCAGGCCGGTCCAAGAGGTGGTTTGGGGTTCTTTGCTGGTCGGGTCTAGGGTTTAGGGTTTA